AGCGTGATCAGGCGGAGTTCTTGTACTTTTAGCAACTCTGGATAATCAATAATTTTGATCTAAGAATCATTCCAGAACAAAGGGTGAAGTGGGCCACTTGGAAGAATTATATCCACTTCAAAGGTGTCCATTTCCCTGTGTTTGGTATCTTCAAGTATACATCTAAAGAATTCTTCAGTACTGAACATGGAAATGTCTCTTTTACCTCTCGCTCACAACTGATCTGAATCAGTTATCAAACAAATGTATAATTCAGCACACCAAAATTATTTTTAACATACCTGCTTACGAAACACTCAATTATGGTTTATGTGTGTTTTATTGACGCGATGATCGATCAGAGCGCCGATTATACCCCACAAATACATCAAGGTCTAGTAAAGATGGAGGAAAAGAACAGACTTTACTTCAACCACATGTCCGATGCACTATAAAGATGGTTCCCATAGCAACAAGAGAAGTCATGCAGTACAATGGACGATGTCAACACAATTCCTGTTATTGGCGTAATGAGGCCCTGGTAGATATTGTGAAGAAAATGTCAACATAACATAGGTAATAGCCATCTATAATCCTTAATTTTTAAAGTTTTAGCTGTGATAGTATCACATTCCAAGGAAATAATGATTGGTATTTTTTTTCATCGTGCACTTAATCGTGGACGTATGATAACCCGTATGACAAGCACCGTGTGATAACCCCTGATATCATGTACGTATGATAACCCGTATGCCATGCACCGTATGATAACCCGTCTGTCATGTACGTGTGATAACCCGAATGTCATGTACATATGATAACCCGAATGTCTTCTACGTGTAATAACCCGAATGTCATGTACGTATGATAACCCGTATGCCATGTACGTATGATAACCCGAATGTCATGTATGTATGATAATCCGTATAACAAACACTGTGTGATAACCCGAATGTCATGTACGTATGATAACCCGTATGCCATGCACCGTATGATAACCCGAATGTCATGTACGTGTGATTACCCGAATTTCATGTACATATGATAACCCGAATGTCATGTACGTGTGATAACCCGAATGTTTTGTACGTATGATAACCCGAATGTCATGTACGTATGATAACCCGACTGTCTTGTACGTATGATAACCCGTATGCCATGCACCGTATGATAACCCGTCTTTCATGCACCGTATGATAATCCGAATGTCATGTACGTGTGATAACCCGAATGTTTTGTACGTATGATAACCCGAATATCATGTACGTATGATAACCCGAATGTCTTGTACGTATGATAACCCGTATGCCATGCACCGTATGATAATCCGTATAACAAACACTGTGTGAAAACCCCTTATGTGATGTACGTATGATAAGCCGTCCATCACGCACCGTATAACCGCATTTCATGTACGTATTACCCGCATTTCAAGCACCGTATGATAACCCACATGTCAAGCACCGTATGATAACCCCGTATACCATGCACCGTATGATAACCCGCATGTCATGTACGTCTGATAACCCGCATGTCATGTACGTCTGATAACCCGCATGTCATGTACGTGTGATAATCCGCATGTCAAGCACCGTGTGATAACCCGCATGTCATGTACGTCTGATAACCCGCATGTCATGTACGTCTGATAACTCGCATGTCATGTACGTGTGATAACCCGCATGTCAAGCACCGTGTGATAACCCGCATGTCATGTGCGTCTGATAACCCGCATGTCATGTACGTCTGATAACCCGCATGTCATGTGCGTCTGATAACCCGCATGTCATGTGCGTGTGATAACCCGCATGTCATGAGCGTGTGATAACCCGCATGTCAAGCACCGTGTGATAACCCTTATGTCATGTGCGTATGGTAACCTGTATAGTAGGTTTTTAAAATAAGATCGATATCAGTGAGTCCGGCCGGACCATATATAACCACCTTGAGTGGTGATAGTTGGTCCGGGAGGACTATTCGTCACTTGGACGAGCTCTCATTTGCATCCTACCTGTACTCCGCCTATCAAACAGCGATAATGAAGTTTATGTATCACCGTATTCCATATCACCTTATCTACCCGCGCCTGGTTGACCTATTGAACTATTTATCAAACTATACACTTACAGTGTACAACTTCTTATCAAAACAAGACCGCCTCCGTGGTCTAGTGGTAGAGCGTCCGCCCGGAGAGCGGAAGGTCCGGGGTCCGATCCCCGGCCACGTCATACCAAAAGACGTTAAAAGATGGTACTTGTTGTTACCCTGTCTGGCGCTCGGCATAAGGGGCTAAAGCAAGGACTAGTCGGCTCGGAGTCAGTATACTGTGTCTGAGTGGGGTATTCATGTTAAACTGTAGCATGGTATCTCAGTTAGCTAGCACTATAAATCGGCATCGGTCCGGACTAGTACAAGCAGCCACACAAACACACACACGTACATGCACGTCGCTATATAAGTGCAATAATCTTGGACGCGACGTTAAACCCCATTTAACCTCACCTTATCAAAACAAGCACACACGAAAACATCAATAGAGCAACACGGGGTCATTAGGTATATTATCAATATGACCCCGACCCAGGCCCACCTGAATCCACGTGGGTGGACGGTAATGAAGACTGACAGCGTTATATGACGAACATGCTTTCAATACATTGATACTATGATTGTGGGAGACAACTGGGGCAGGAGTAATCAATGGATCCGTTAGTTCACTGGGTGAGACGAGCTGAGCAGTTCCGCCCCCACTGCGTTAACGGCGCTGGGGACGCTAGAAACTTTGAGCAGGCCGACCCAGTTATGTCGAAAGTCTAGGGGAGGGCCGTCACGTGGTGTTTCTCAAGAGTTTGTGACCTCATCATGTTGGTAAATTTGGATACTTAGACATAAAACAGGTTGAATTCGTTTAGGGCTTCGGGGCATTAAGTGCAGTGTTATGTCGCGCTGGCTTTCTGCGTAAGAGAACCGTAGACTAATGCGTCAGTACCGGGTTCGAGTCTGTGGTTGACGTAATTTTACTTGGTGAGGTGAGGTGAAATGGGGTTTAACGTCGCGTCCAAGATTATTGCACTTATATAGCGACGTGCATGTACGTGTGTGTGTTTGTTTGGCTGCTTGTACTAGTCCGGACTGATGCCAATTTATAGTGCTAGCTCACTGAGATACCATGCCGCAGTTTAACATGAATACCCCACTCAGACACAGTATACTGACTCCGAGCCGACCAGTCCTTGTTTTAGCCTCTTAATGCCGAGCGCCAGACAGGGTAACAACAAGTACCATCTTTTAACGTCTTTTGGTATGACGCGGGCGGGGATCGAACCCCGGCCCTTACGCTCTCCGGGCGGACGCTCTACCATTAGACCACGGAGGCGGTCCCCAATAATTTTACTTGGAGACGAAGACGTTAAACAGTTTGAGATTATTTAGAGTGAGTGAGTGAGTCAGTTGGGTTTAACGCCGCTTTTAACAGTATTCCAGTTATATCGCGGCGCGTCGGCTTAATGTTGGAGGAAAGCCCGAAGTGATGCAGGTCTCGGACGTTTACCAGTTGGGTGAAACCCACGAGCACGGGTATGGTGCTGACAAACCTAGAAACATAATCGGGACGAACCGGGATTCGAATCCACAATCACAGCGAATCACGGCGCCTTAGACGACTGGGCCATCTGTGCCCCCGAGATCATTAAGAACCAGAATATGCAGCGTTTTATTACAATTATTATAACTTTTGTCTACGCTGTTTTGTTTATTTGTTCGTTGTTTAACGCCGTTCTCATCCATATTCTAGGTACATGACAGTTGCCTGCAATAACATGAACCTTGAATATACAAACCAGTGATTGATATTGTGAGCACGGGATAAGACGACCAAGAGACCGCGCCCGATTCTCGATTCATTTATCGCCCCTTACAACAAGCATGTATGTTTCTTGGGACCTATTCTGGACCCTGGTCTTTTGGATCAGTCCCGGAATGGGTATGTTGTTAAATTAGAACAGTTTGGGTTATCATAAATATGCTTTGCACTTCGAACTCATAAAAAGCGTGTAGACATGATGTGTGAATGTGTGGGCGTCCGCTATTGTGCTTTCAGTCTCTCTTACATACACCGGGGTCACGGGTGGCCCAGTCGTCTAAGGCGCCGCGATTCGCTGTGCAGAGTTGCGTCCCTGGACACGCCAGAAACCTATGATTGTGGGTTCGAATCCCGGTTCGCCCCGATTATGTTTCTAGGTTTGTCAGCACCATACCCGTGCTCGTGGGTTTCACCGAAGTGGTAATCGTCCGAGACCTGCATCACTTCGGGCTTTCCTCCCACATTAAGCTGACACGCCGTGATATAACTGGAATACTGTTAAAAGCGGCGTTAAACCCAACTCACTCACCCACTCACTCTTACATAAACCAGAGCCTATACTCGTACCCTTTTTAGCTCTGAAATTGTTTGTTCGTTTGTTTGTCATTTAACGCCACATTCTGCAATATTCCAGCTATATGAAGGTGGTCTGTAAATAATTGAGTCTGGACCAGACAAGCCAGTGATCGATGTCATGAGCATCGATTCACGCAATTGGGATACGATGACATGCATCAACCAAGTCAGCGAGCCTGACCCCCCGATCCCGTTAGTCGTCTCTTATGACAAGCACAGTCAACTTTCACGGCAAGCATGGGTTGCTGAAGACCTATTCTAACCCGAATCTTCACGGGTGAGCTCTGAAATTAAGAGAGGTGAGGGGGAACATTGTGTTTAAAGCGTTCGCTTGTCATGCACATTGCGTGAAGCCCATTTTTCAGTTAGAGCTACAAAATCATATTTTTTGTATTTATGCGCCTGAATATTTCTTAAAGAAAAACACCTTGCATCAAGCTATTTTTTTGTGGCAGTCACTTTCATACTTTTCAACAGTCTGAAGAAAAATGACATTTTTCAAGAATTTTCAGGGATAACAAAAAGTAAGAAAAGTACAAACGCAACACCAGACAATCATGGTAAGCCACTTAATCTTTTTTACCTTTCTGGCGATTAGTTCGTCGTGACCCCATCGAAAAAGCAGGATCGTCGTTGTTTTGGGTCTCCTTTCTCACGTTGTACTTGCCAGGCCCGGGGCTCACCGTCGGGTATGCTGCAAAAAGAGGAAAATGACAATTACAGGAACGTGGTGATTATGTGTTGTTGATTTCGGCATCAGTTTGGGCATCTTCTCGGGTCATCAATATATGGACGCGACCGCCAACGCTTTCTTAGGAGACCAGCCGTAAGCCACAATATTCTTTGATGGAATAATATGAATGGTATACCATTGTCATTCTATCTGCAAGGGGCGGTTGGGTAGCCTTGTGGTCAAAGCGTTCACGCCTAAGGTCCGGGTTCGATTCCCCACATGGGTATAATGTGTGAAGCCCTTTTCTGGCGTCCATTATTGATGGAACATTGCGGCGTGAAACTATACTCAGTCACAAACTACAATGATGTATGACATATTTGTGGTTAGAGACAGGATACCTAAATGGTCACTGCTTCAATAAATACTTTTTTCTCTGTGTGAGTGAGTATTGTTTTACGCCGCTTTTAGCAATATTCCGGCAATATCACGGCGGGGGACACCAGAAATGGTTAGCACACATTGTACCCATGTCGGGAATCAAACCTTGAGTCTTCGGCGTGGCGAGCAAACACTTTAACCACTAGGCTACCCAACCCCCCCTCGGCCCCTCTAAAATGAGGAGCCAATCAGTTTTTTTAGGACATTCGGCCTGTCTAGCAATCCTTGGCCATAAACTTGAGGCAAGACAATTTTACAAATTTTACAAATTTTCCTGTATTTACTGGAACAAAGTACTTTGTAATGTTCGGTCCCAAACGAAAAGGGGATTTAGGGGCATCTTGGGTAGTATACTCCCCAGGAAGCTGAGAATGGAATTTGAGAGCGGATCTAGAAAGGTGTGTGAGGGTGTTTGGGGGAAGAAACAAAATACCACGGTGGAATGACGGGCATTGCAGTGGCGCGTTTGCTAATTTGTTTTCTTTTTGACAACTCGTCTGAATCATCGTATGTTTGAACTTATGACTGATACATATTTCTAAAGTAAATCAAGAACATCGCCCACCCCATTTGGTTTATCCTGTCATTAATACCACGATAATCTGATGTTGTAAACTCTCCAATTCAAGTGACCGCCTCCGTGGTCTAGTGGTAGAGCGTCCGCCCGGAGAGTGGAAGGTCCAGGGTTCGATCCCGGGCCGCGTCATACAAAAAGACGTTAAAAGATTGTACTTGTTGTTACCCTGTCTGGCGCTCGGCATTAAGGGGCTAAAACAAGAACTGGTCGGCTCGGAGTCAGTATACTGTGTCTGAGTGGGGTATTCATGTTAAACTGCGGCATGGTATCTCAGTGAGCTAGCACTATAAATCGGCATCAGTCCGGACTAGTACAAGCAACCACACAAACACACACACACACGTACATGCACGTCGCTATATAAGTGCAATAATCTTGGACGCGACATTAAACCCAATTTCACCTCACCTCACCTCACCTCTAATTTAGGGAGACCACACACAGAAGCCACTTATCGTTACCTGTTCCACGAACCATATTATGACAAGGGGATATTAAATGCTAAATAGAACTTGATATTTGTTAGACACAAAAAGGATTGTGACTCAAGTTCTTAAATACTTTAAAAAATAGATTGAAGTACCCCCTCCCTAAGAAGCATGTCTTGGCAATTATTTAGCATTGCCGTTTCCTAAATGCAGTGGAATCTAAACGCACCGTTTGACTCTTTCTCCACAGCATTTATGCTTATTTTCGCTGACGATTTTTTTCAGTCTGTATCTCTCTAATTTATGTTTTCGGTTATTACAGATTACGAGTTGAGCCCACAACATGTTGCACTATTGAATAATGTGACATCTGAATAACGCTGATAAAAGGGGAGCCGATCCCATCTCAACATGGCTGTCGTGTTCCCGCGATACCACGGGAGATTTACTCACTGCTATGCTACCCAATCCATATTACGATACCGGGTACTTGAAGTGTGTTTGGGTTTGTGACGACAATTACAGCGTCTAATGCACGTTAGATGACCAGAGAGCTCTGAGCTCTATTGGGGCTTTAGAACTTGTCCACTCAGCAGTTTCTGTTTATAGCGGACACTTACAATAACGGAAATTCATTGATTTATAAAGCGTTCTTACTGATCCCTATAGGCAGCCGGTTGCATCCTTTCTGCCGTCAGTGCGTTATTATTAAAATGTGGGTGACCTAAGTCAACTGAGGTTAACGCTGTGGCACATGTCTGGCAACCAGGGCTGATTAGGTTCAACCTGAGTTAACTAGTGTTATTCAACGATTTACTTAGGGCAGAACCTGAAATAGAAAACCTAAATCGGGAACTTTATTCAAAATGGCTGTCGATAAACATACTATGGCTCTGTGAAATACGTGTGATAGATGGGGCACGGGTGGCCCAGTCGTCTAAGGCGCCACGATTAGCTGTGCAGAATTGCATCCCTTGGGCTAGCCAGATACCTAGGATTGTGGGTTCGAATCCCGGTTCGCCCCGATTATGTTTCTAGGTTTGTCAGCACCATACCCGTGCTCGTGGGTTTCACCGAAGTGGTAAACGTCTGAGACCTGCATCAATTCGGGCTTTCCTCCCACATTAAGCTAACACGCCATGATATAACTGGAATACTGTTAAAAGCGGCGTTAAACCCAACTCACTCACTCACTCACGTGTGATAGGATAAAACAAAGCTATGAGGGTCAGCAAGTGTTTTTGTTTGCTTGTCAAACCTGCCATTGAACCTCTTCTATCTACAGTAAACTACGGTTATAACGAACTCAAATTAAAGGGACTACTTATTTAAGTTCGTTATAACCGTAGTTCGTCATAAGCATACACACAGTATATACAGCTAATGGCCGGGGCCAAAAACAGTTCCTTATATCGGTCAGTTCGTTATAAGCGAACTCGTGAAGATCCGGGGTAGAATGGGTCTTCAGCAACCATCTTTGCCGTAAAAGGCGACTATGCTTGTCGTAAGAGGCGACTTACGGGATCGGGTGGTCAGGCTCGCTGACTCGGTTATACAAACGTTATAAGCGTGTTCGTTATGAACATAGTTTACTGTAATGCATGTTATACAAAATATTGCGCAGAACACCAAACTGAGATCCAAAATCAACATCTATTTTTTATTATTGATTCCAAAGTATGTATATCAACAATCGATATTTACTTTTCCCTGATGTATATCATGAATATACTTCCTCCATATATGTATGTTCTATAAATGCCTTGTTATTTATATTCATAACAATGCTTTTATTCATGATAGAATCAATCAATAAAACTGATCAGCTTTAACAGGGTGCCGTTGTTCAGAGCGATCTTAGCGTTAACATTGACTTACGACAGTCGTAGCGCTAAGGTTGTTTTGTACAATGGCACCCAGGGGATCTGTCGGTTTCGGAAACTCTGGTCAATCGAAGTATGACGTCAATCAGTTGAAATGTGCTAGCATTGGTCAACCAAAGTTAAAATCGGCCATTCTTTGGTCAACCTGTTTTGACCAGGCCGTCCAGGGTTTTGGAATCGGACGCGAGCAGAATGGGTGTGATCTGGTTGGTCTTAGGGGGACGTAATCTGGCATCACCAGACACTTTATATCGTAGCCAGGGGCAGTCGGGTAGCCTAGTGGTTAAAGCCTTCGCTCGTCACGCCGAAGACCCGGGTTCGATTCCCGACATGTGTACAATGTGTGAAGCCCATTTCTGGGGTCCCCCGCCGTGATATTGCTGGAACATTGCTAAAAGCGGCGTAAAACCATAGTCACTCACTCACTTATATCGTAGCCTTGGCTCGCCAGTTGGATGGAGACTCCATCTACGCCACGATCACGATAGTCCTGCACATGACTGGGGAATTTATATGCTTATTAGATAATTTTTTACTAAAAGCCTAAGTAAGTCTACATCAAACTAAACCAAGTCTATTTTCCAACGAAAACGGCAGAGGAAGAAAGGTTTTATTATAAAAATATATTTTCAAGAAATGTTTTCAAAGATTAGTGTTACTCTAGATCACATTGCCAACACTCCAATGCCAAAGGTTTATCGACCTTCGCCATTCTCCCCTTGTTATTTCAGCGCGATACGTGCTTACAAACATGAGCGGGTATTATTTTATATTGTTGCCTTCATAAAAAAACACAATTACGACTGAGAGTAAATGGCAATGCATATGCCAGATCACGTTATCTCAAGGCCAGGCAGGACGCAACTGTGGACGTGGATATGCTTTCAAAGAGGCTGTAACTGCCTGCATGTCGGGTGACCAGGATGCAGCACGGCGACTGCATTCAAGTAGCTTCACTGGCACCAAATCACAAGTATGGCTGGCATTGTCCAAATGTTTGTGCTTAGGTCACGATGCCAGAATCTTTGAAATCTTTTTATTTGAAATGTGTTTATTTCTGAACTGTAGGCCAAAGGCCCGTAGAACAAGTAACATGATACTGATGCTAGAATCGACCGTGAAGATCCGGGGTGGAATAGGTCTTCAGCAACCCATGCTTGTCCTGAAAGGCGACTATGCTTGTCGTAATAGGCGACTAACGGGATCGGGTATCAGGCTCGCTGACTTGGTTGAAGCATGTCATCGTATTCCAATTGCATGGATCGATGCTCATGACGTAAATCACTGGATTGACTGGTCCAGACTTGATTATTTAGAGACTGCCGTCATATAGCTGGAATATTGCTGAGTGTGGCGTTAAACGACAAACAAACAAACATTATGCTAGAACCTAGTTCATAACCCTTAGGCGAAGGTCAGGGTTGAATTTTAACCTTTAATTAACCTCCCTCCCTTTTTAAGTTCTGATGATTTTAATTGATGGTAAATATATTTCATTTGTCAGTGGCCCGGTAGTCTGAGGGGTAGATATTCGCTGTGCAGAGTTGCATCCCTTAATAGTGTCAGGATCTGCTGATCCCAAATTCCTTTTTGGATAATTGGACGTCAGCACAATACCCGTGCTCGTGGGTTTCTCTATGCAGAGTTGTGCGTGTTGATCTACGACCTGCATCAGCTTAGGGTTTCTTCCAA